TGTGTGTGTGTATGGACTCAGCAATCTGTGTGTGTGTGGACTCAGCAATCTGTGTGTGTGTGTACTCAGCAGAGTCTGTGTGTATGGACTCAGCAGAGTCTGTGTGTATGGACTCAGCAGAGTCTGTGTGTGTGTGTATGGACTCAGCAGAGTCTGTGTGTGTGTATGGACTCAGCAGAGTCTGTGTGTGGGTATGGACTCAGCAGTCTGTGTGTGTGTATGGACTCAGCAGAGTGTGTGTGTGTTTGTGTGTATGGACTCAGCAGAGTGTGTGTGTTTGTGTGTATGGACTCAGCAGAGTCTGTGTGTGTGTATGGACTCAGCAGTCTGTGTGTGTACGGACTCAGCAGAGTCTGTGTGTGTGTATGGACTCAGCAGTCTGTGTGTGTGTGTATGGACTCAGCAGTCTGTGTGTGTATGGACTCAGCAGTCTGTGTGTGTATGGACTCAGCAGAGTGTGTGTTTGTGTGTATGGACTCAGCAGAGTCTGTGTGTTTGTGTGTATGGACTCAGCAGAGTCTGTGTGTGTGTGTGTATGGACTGAGCAGTGTCTGTGTGTGTGTATGGACTCAGCAGTCTGTGTGTGTGTGTATGGACTCAGCAGTGTGTGTGTGTGTGTGTGTATGGACTCAGCAATCTGTGTGTGTGTGTGTATGGACACAGCAGTCTATTAATAATTAAAATTCCTGTGAGTTGTTGTGTGGGAAGGGCCCCAGCTGCGTCAGGGCCTGGACGGATTGCTATCATCGAATGAAAAATGAATTCCCAAGTTTATCAAGACAATTGCAGGAGAACCTAAGGCCATCTGTCTACCAGCTGAAGCTCAACAAAAGATGGGTGTTGCAACAGGACAATGACCCAAAGCATAGAAGTAAATCAACAACAGAATGGCTTAAACAGAAGAAAATACGCCTTCTGAAGTGGCCCAGTAAGAGTCCTGACCTCAACCCGATTGAGATGCTGTGGCATGACCTCAAGAAAGCGATTCACACCAGACATCCCAAGAATATTGCTGAACTGAAACAGTTCTGTAAAGAAGAATGGTCAAGAATTACTCCTGACCGTTGTGCACATCTGATCTGCAACTACAGGAAACGTTTGGTTAAAGTTATTGCTGCCAAAGGAGGTTCAACCAGTTATTAAATCCAAGGGTTCACATACTTTTTCCACCTGCACTGTGAATGTTTACATGGTGTGTTCAATAAAAACATGGCAACATTTCATTCTTTGTGTGTTATTAGTTTAAGCAGACTGTGATTGTCTATTGTTGTGACTTAGATGATGATTAGATCACATTTTATGACCAATTTGTGCAGCAATTCATATCATTCCAAAGGGTTCACATACTTTTTCTTGCAACTGTAGCACCATCAAATTCCGCAGCGCTTTACAATGGGTGGACGAACAGACATGTAGTTGTAACCAGACAAGTTGGACACACAGGAACAGAGGGGTTGGGAGCCCTGCTCAATGAGCTTACATGCTAGAGGGAGTGGGGTAAAATGACACAAAAAGGTAAGGATAGTATTAGACTAGTGACAGTTGCAGAATAGGAAACAGTCAGGAGCTATTAACAGTTTAATTGATATTCTTTTATGAAGAAGTGGGTTTTTTAACGATTTTTTGAAGGAGTGGAGACTGGGTGAGCATCTAACGGAGGAGGGAAGCGAGTTCCACAGGAACGGTGCAGCCCTCGAGAAATCTTGAAGGTGAGCATCAGAGGTGGGAGTACGGACAGAAGATAGACGTAAGTCTTCAGCAGATCGTAAGGGCCTAGACGGGACATACTTGTGTATAAGGAAGGATAGATAGGTGGGAGCAGCATTATGTAGAGAATTGAAAGCAAGAACCAGAATTTTAAATTGAGCTCTATATTTTATAGGAACAGGAAGATGAGCCTCGCTGCCGCATTCATTATGGAATGTAATGGCGCAAGTTGGGAGCACGTAAGACCACTGAGAAGCGGATTACAGTAGTCAAGGCGAGAAAGGACAGTGGAATGGACCAACACCTTAGTCGCATCTGGCGTTAAGTAGGGGCGGACGCGCGCAATGTTTTTGAGGTGGAAATGACGGGATTTGGCTATAGATTGAACATGAGGCTTGAAGGAGAGGTCGGAGTCAAAGAGAACACCTAGGCAGTGAACCTGCATGGTGGAACTGATGGTAGCACCGTTGACTTGGAGAGAGATAGACACAGGAGTTACAACACTTGAAAGACCAGAATTTCAGTTTTGGTCAAGTTTAGTTTAAGGAAGTGGGCAGCTATCCAGTTAGAAATAGCAGAGAGGCAGTCAGATACACTAGTCAAGAGGGACGGGGAGAGATCAGGAGAGGACAGGTAGATTTGCATGTCATCTGCATAGAAATGATATTGGAAGCCAAAGGAGCTAATGAGTTTACCAAGGGAGGCAGTATAGATGGAGAACAGTAGGGGACCAAGGACTGAACCTTGGGGGACACCAACAGAGAGGAGTTGGGGAGAAGAAGCAGAGCCAGAGAAAGAAACACTGAAAGAGCGCTGGGAGAGGTAGGAGAAGCACCAGGAGAGAGCAATATTTTGTAGACCGATATTGCGGAGGATGAGAAGAAGCTGTTGATGATCAACAGTGTCAAAAGCAGCAGACCGGTCAAGGAGAATTAGGATAGAGTAGTAACCACGAGATTTTGCAGCGAGTAGATCATTATATACTTTGGTCAGTGCTGTTTCCACAGAGTGCTTAGCGCGGAAACCAGACTGAAGCGGGTCTAGCAGAGAGTTGGACTCGAGGAAGTCTATCAATCTCGCATACACAATTCTTTCAAGAATCTTGGATGCAAAAGGCAGTAGCGAGATAGGACAATAGTTGGATGGGGAGATAGGGTCAAGATTGGGCTTCTTTAGAATTGGGGTTACAGTTGCATGTTTGAAGGGCGATGGAAATATACCAGAGGAGAGAGAGAGATTGAAAATTTTAGTGAGAGATGGAGAAAGAGAAGAAGACAGAGTATGGATGAGATGCGAGGGAATTGGATCTAGGGAGCAGATGGTGGGGCAGGAGGACTGGAGCAGAGCAGAAACCTCTTCCAATGTAGCGGGTGCGAATTAACATAGAACAGCAGAGGGAGTGAAGTTAGGGGAAGTATTGTAAGGGGAAGAAGAAAGATGAGAGATCTCTTCTCTGATTGTAGAGAACTTATCAGTGAAGTGAGTTGCAAAGTTGAGGCGGTCAAGTTAGTAGGATATGCATCTTTTGCAAAATGTAGTGGAGTGTGCCATTACCCAGCGCATTAGTCAGATCATAATGCTATTACCTTTATCCTACATTCCTATCAAGATAAGGACTCCTGGAGGGTTAATTAATCCATTTTAACTGACAAATCAGCTCAGGTGTAGTTCACCACATTCCTCAAAGAATACTTTACACTTAATGCCACCCATGACATGTTTTCTGTTTCTTTATGGAACATACAAAAATACTTTTTTGGTGGTAAATGTATCAAATATGTCTCCCTCAAAGGAGAATGACTTAAAAGG